CGGTCAGCCCGACGGCGCCGCCGCCGCTGCCGCCGCCGCGCCGCCCCTGCCCGACGACACCACCCGCCACCTGCCCACGTCGCCCATCCTGTACGCCGGCACCATCATGTCCACGCCCGTGCTGGTGCCCGTGCGCCCCACGCGCCTCGGCGGGCCCGGCCCCACCCCCGACGACGGAGGCCTGCTGCAGCCGTCGCGCGTCTACACGCAGTACGCCGAGGTCACCCCGTCCGCCACGCCCGTCTTCTACACGGAGGTGGAGCCCAGCGCGTCCACCGATCTGCCCACCAGCCAGGTACGCGCTGATTATTAACGCCATTAGATTGATTTACACACTGCGGTGGTGTAACGGTCTGTTATTGAACCGGATTATTGTATCGGACTGTTATTGAACCGAAGTTCGTGGGTGTAATCACGTGCATTTTTAAGTGGAAAGAAGTTCCTTCGTACGCCTTCCTTCGGAAAGTCAAGACGGCAATCCAGTGTTGTAGATTTCGTGTAATGTCGCCTGAGTGACAACTTCTTTCTCTCGTAGATGGCGAGAGGAGCGTAGAGAAATTTGCGTGGTCAACCGGAAGAACAAGTCCAACGACCTGAGCCTCGACACATAAATTAAGGCATCATTGAATAGAATTGAATTGCAGTGATACTGATGTAGAGCAAGTAACGGACGTTGTAGTTTGTGAATCGAGGATTAAAATCAACCAACTACATTATTTAGGATATCGTTCGTATTTCTTTCTATACTTTTCTTAACCTTTTTATAGTAAAAAATTGCATTTACAAAAAATATATACTTTGTTGAAAAAGCGCACTCATGCGCCAACTTCAGCAATGTCTCATTTGTTTCGATTGTTCTTAATGGACAGCGGACTGTTAAATTCCTGAACGAACGCGGCCGTTGAGAGTAGATTGTCGTGCCTCAATGTGGTTGGGTTATGTCTTGGAAAACATTAAACGTCATCGAGCAGATAAAGCGGTCTGAGCTGAAGAGTCAAATCTTCTGGTACTAGAATTGTGACATTCGGAGTGTATTAGAATTAGATTTATTAATAATTCTGCAATTAAGTGTGA